ATATACCTCGTAGATGAACAACTTCTTTGTTACATTAAGGAGCGACGTTTCGGTGGAGGTTCTAACACCGTTCTAAGTGCCTCTCTAAACAGATATAGGATGTTGTACTGATACACATTTTCGCTTGCCCGGGTTATTGCAAGTCCCGTTCACGTGTGTCACGATGCATGCATCCATCCTTATACCACGTTGTTATTGTAGCGATGGTCCGACACTGCCTCTACAATATAATTCTGCATTGTTTGAGTATTTGTCTTAAAATTGGCAAAAATGATCGGTTCATTTGGGATTCAGAAGAAGAATATATGTCCCCAGCAACTTGTCGTAAAAGGGGGACACAAGGGATCTGGTGGTCAGCGTAGATCGGTGCTCATGATGTCAATCACATGATTATCCAGGGTAAAATCCGGGAAGATCCGGGGTAGAATTGGTCTTCAGCAACCCATGCATGCCGTAAAAGGTGACTATGCTTGTCGTAAGAGGCGACTGACGGGATCGGGTGGTCAGGCTCGCTGACTTGGTTGATGCATGTCATACAGCTGGAATATTGCTGAGTGCGACATGAAACAAACAAACAAACAATTAAACCAGCGTCATGATCATGTACAATGTTCTACTCTCTGTTCCGTGTGTAGGTGTGTACTGGTCGTTCCTGAGTGTTCTGATGGCAGACATTCTCGGTGTGCCAGATTCAAACAAAGGATTCGCCCTTCTTGTCTTCTTTGGAGGTCTTCCGTCCCTTTTCTCCTCGCCACTCGCAGGTTCGCTTATTAATTACACTTCGTATGATAGGGGACGGTCGGGTAGCCTAGTGGTTAAAGCGTTCGCTCGTCACGCCGAAGGCCCGGGTTCAATTTCCGACATGGGTACAATGTGTGAAGCCAATTTTTGGTGTCCCCCGCCGTGATATTGCTGGAATATTCTAAAAGCTGCGTAAAACGATAATCACTCAATCGTATGATGATAGGTGAGGTGAGGTGAGGTGAAGTGAAATTGGGTTTAACGTCGCGTCCAAGATTATTGCACTTATATAGCGAATGGCATGCACGTGTTTGCGTGGCTGCTTGTACTAGTTTCGGACTGATGCCGATTGATAGTGCTAGCTCACTGAGATACCATGCCGCAATTTAACATGAATGCCCTACTCAGACACAGTATACTGACTCCGAGCCGACCAGTCCTTGTTTTAGCCCCTTTAAGCCGAGCGCAAGACAGGGTAACAACAAGTACCATCCTCAAACGTCTTTTGGTATGACGCGGCCGGGGATCGAACCCCGGACCTTCCGCTCTCCGGGCGGACGCTCTACCACTAGACCACGGAGGCGGCTATGTTTAACTGTATTTGACGTTGTATTTCACCTTCTACTGTCAATTAACTCAAGTTCCTGCATCTTTTAACATCTGAGTGAGTGAGTGAGTGAGTGAGTGAGTGAGTGAGTGAGTGAGTGAGTGAGTGAGTGGGTGTCAGCAATCGCCTCCCCGGGGGGTGCCTGGGTAAGATATATCCACACACGCTGTTGACAGTAGTAAATTGGCAACCCGGGGGAATTCCGGGTGAGAACAGTTCTCTAGCAACGTATGCTGGTCGTTAGAGACCTCTTAATGGAGCGGCTGGTCATCTTGCTTGATGGCGGGCCCATGTACCCCCTGGATCGTTGTTCACAACATCAATTACTGGATTGTCTGGAGTGATGATTTGCCGGCCAGGCTCCACACAGCTGAAATATTGCTGAGTGGAGTTATCGACAGTGACAGACGTGAGGAACCGGATGTGAATACGGTGTCTGAGTTAAACGTCCATGTTGGTTGGTTTGTTGTTTTACGCCGCACTGAGCGACCGACGGGATCGGGTGGTCAGGATCGCTGTCTTAGTTGATGCATGTCGTCGTATCCAAATTGTGTGGATCGGTGCTCATGATATCAATCAGTGGATTGTCAGGTCCTGACTCGATTATTTACAGACCGCCGTCATATAGGTCGAATATTGTGGAGTGCGTTAAACAGCAAACAAAACAAAGACTTTACGCGGGGTTGTCAAAAAGTTCTAAGTCTGACTAACTTTCAAACAAAGTGAACTAGTGAATGTTGTACATTGTTTGAGTTGTTCATTGCAAGTGCATTTGGTCTGTTGAAGCTGTTTGTATATTACCGACAGCCAATGGACGTGATAGAGGTCCAAATGGACACGAGTACCGAGCAGTCATCAAGTTTTTGACTTTAGAGAAAAGTACTCCCAACGAATGTCATGACCGCATGTCACAAGTGTATGGGGATAAGTGCCCTAGTTATTCCACTGTTAAATGTTGGGCAGCTATGTTTCAGGTTGGGAGAACACGCCTTGATGATGACCGTAAGTCTGGACGTCCCTCAACTTCCATGAGTGAAGATTCAATCAAGGAGAAAGAAGAAAAGATGTTACTGACAGACGTATTACAATTGCTGAACTTGAGGAAGATACAGGTCTGAACCATGGATCGAGTGAGTGAGTGAGTGAGTGAGTGAGTGAGTGAGTGAGTGAGTGAGTGAGTGAGTGAGTGGGTGGGTGGGTGGGTAAGTGAGTGAGTGGGTGGGTGGGTGGGTGGGTGGGTTTGGTAGCAGCTGTTCAAATACTGCTAAGAGTTATCTTGCTATGTTCGTTATCTGAATTCAGTATCTGGTGCAACGTGCTGGCAGAACGTATGAATTGCTGGAAATAGCACAGCGCTACTTCAGTGAAAAAGAACAGAGCTTACATCAAGCCAAGTTGTATCAGATAGTCCATATCTTATTAGCATTCAGGCAAAAACAAGTTCTGCTCTTGTTTGGAAAACACATGTGAAGTACCAGGAGAGAATTGGTCTTCAGCATCATGCTTGTCATAAGAGGCGATACACGTTTGTTTGTTTGTTATTTAACGCTGCACTCAGCAAAATTCTAGCTATATGATAGCGGTCTGTAAATGATCGAGTCTGGATCAGACAATACAGTGATTGACATCATGAGCATCAATTCACGCAATTGGTATATGATGACATGCATCAACCAAGTCAGTGAGCCTTACCACCCGATCCCGTTAGTCGCCTCTTACGACAAGCATAGTCGCCTGGTACGACTAACGGGATCAGGTGGTCAGGCTCGAAGACTTTGTTGAACCAAATGTGAGAACAGCTTTGCCTTAATAATCCAGTGATGACATGCATGCATTGTACACAAGTTGATGGTGATGCACGTCATCAACATCTAACTGCTCATAATTTGGTATAATTTTGTCAGGAACACAGCAGAAGTAGCGAAACAGTCGTTGTGGACTTACGGTTAATAAAACTCGACCTTTACAAAGGATGCTGTCTAAATCCGTGGAAAATGAAAGTGAAGTGAATTGGTTAAATTTATTCATTAACAGGCACTTTACTAGGTTCATCTGTCTACGCAAATGGCGAAGGAGTTTGATATGTATGTACAAGTCCTTCTAAAGCAGTTAAACATAAGTATAGATACCTGTATACATAACTCACATTTAAATCTAAGCGGAAATCTAACAAATAAAGGTATAAACGAATTGATCTTAATTTTTTATGAGAAAGACTGAAAGCTTTATAACCTCGGCATGGAACTCGATCCATGCCTTCCGTCAGTTTACAATGTTTTAATTAGCATACATCGTTCCAAAAGAAGTCAATAAATATAAAACAACTATTGAGTTATTCCACCCTTCTATTCCATTTCAAGCCTTTTGCCATGGAGACAAACGATTTTAATATTAAGAAAATAATATTGTAATAAAATCATAGATCATCGTAGAGCTATAGGTGATGTTTGTTGTTTAACGCCGCCCACAGCCATATTCCAGCTACATGACGGCGGTATGTAAATAAGCGATTCTTGACCAGACAATCCAGTGATTTACAACATTAGCATCGATCCACGCACTTGGGATCGATGACATGCATCAACCAAGTCAGCAGGCCTGAACACCCGATCCCGTTAGTCGCCTCTCACGACAGCATAGTCGCCGTTCACGGCAAGCATCGGTTGCTGAAGACCTATTCTATCCCGGATCTTCACAGGTCAGATATGTGCATACATGTTATACAAGCGCTGTGCATTCATAAGTCTTATAAGAAACGGGTGTACAACATTACAGGATAGTTTACCAATATTTCCACAATAACCAGGGGCGGTGGGGTGGTTCAGTGGTTCAGAGCATTCACTCGTCAGACCACTGACCCTGGTTCGATTCCACACATGCATGGGTAAAATCTTGGAAGTAAATTTCTGGTGTTCCCTGGTGTGATTTTGCGAAAATGTTGTTTCAAGACGCGTAAAACTACACTCGCAGACACATCAGTAATCATTGAAGCATGGTTAAACTATGTTCGGGAGTTTCATCCGTGGAAGCGAATGCAAGGAAACAAAGTCTCACTCTTACTGTTGTTGCGAAATACCCTAAAGAAATGCTGAAGGCGTCTTTAAACATACATTCGATGTTTTTCCTAAATACACGCATTGAATTCAACATATTTCATATCAAACCAAAAAGACCTCACTCAATTACCCGTAGTTCAAAATTATCAACGCCAAAGGCTCTAAATACACATAGTGTGGCACTGTTGAGTGGCCCTATTTCCAGTGAGTGAGTGAGTATGGTTTTACGCCGCAATATTCCAGCAATATCACGGAGGGGGGACACAGAAATGGGCGTCATACATTGTACCCATGTGGGGAATCGAACCAAGGTCTTCGGCGTGACGAGCAAAAACATTTACAACTAGGCTACTCCACTGCCCCACTATTTCCAGAACTTCTCCAAATAATCCCTTGTATCAAATATAATGCCCAGTTAATTTATGTACTGAGTATATTTCATTCAGTTTGATAACTATCATTAAAAAAACCCAACTCCTTAACATTCACAATGTGTCATAATCACCATCCTTGTCACCATGACGACAGTGCCTTGACAATCATTGTCACCATCGTGACAGTGCCTTTGACAATCATTGTCACCATCACGACAGTGCCTTGACAATCATTGTCACCATGACGACAGTGCCTTGACAATCATTGCTTTCTTCTCCTCTGTCATGTTGATGTCGCTGCCCACTACAAGTGTCATGCTGACAGTGAGGCCACGTGGGTTATACACCCCGAACATCGGCCACAGTGGCTGACTAGAGTCTACATTGTCTAACGTCGATATCACTTTATTCTCCTTCACATCAATGAAGACAATCTTCTTCCTGGCGTCATCATAGACAACACCGTAATGTAGTGTGTGTGATGTCCCTGCTGTGTTGGGGAGAGTGTCAGGCAGATGCAGTACACACTTCCCCTCCTTCCATGTCGTCCTGCATATCCCGCCGTGTGTAGTACAGTTGGCGACGGTCATGCTGTAGGAGCCGGGACTTCCACCTAGCCAAAGACACACGTCCCTCTCCTCCTCCCTGCACACACCAACCTCCAGGATGAGCCAGTCCCATCTGAGTGTTTCATCCAGGCTGACCCTAGATTTCATCTCCCAGTACTGGGGACAGCCAGCCCGGGGGAGGGGGGCAGTGCTACATGTGCCACTGTAGTTCTTCAGTCTCCCCTCCCCTGCAGGTCTGGTGTCCGACTCCCTGTTGACCAGGTCTCCTTCTGTGTTGATGTGGACTTCGGCCAGATTGACTCTGTCTTTGTCATACTTTAGGTGTAAACCTACAAAATATGAATGTAGTTTACATGCGAATAACACATGAGACAAATATAGTGACAGTTTCGCGAGATATAACGCTATTTACATGCTTGTAATTCACAGCTAAGTACGCTGTCCTGATATATAAATAGTGTAATATAATCACATTGCAGTTGTACGAAAAAAACACCTGATGTGTGTTATATTTGGATCAATGATTAGTGTTTACATTGGACTAACTGACAACACTTTAACCCGAATGTAAATGTAGTTCTTAATGGGTCTGGTATATGTTTGTTTGTTTGTTGTTTAACGCCTCACTCCGCTATATTGTAGCTATATGACGGTGGTCTGTAAAAAAATCGATTCAGGGCCAACAATCAACTGATTGACATCATGAGCATCAATCCACGCAATTGCGATTCGATGACAAGCATCAACCAAGTCAGAGAGCCTGACCACCCGATCCCGTAAGTCGCCTCTCACGACAAGCATAGTCACCTTTTACGGCAAGCATGGGTTGCTAAAGACCTATTCTTCCCCAAGATCTAGTGAATGGTTCGTAAGTTATTAAATGAATCAGAGCGGTAGACACAAGACATCAACATTAAGTGATCAGACTTGATATAAATCTGAAAAAACAACAGCTACAAAAACACGGATAAACAGACACGATAAACATTCAGAGGTCAAATAATCGCAATCACAGGCGGATACCGTCTTATACGAGTCAACGTGGTATAACGAGGGACATGTAGACTGCATGTCAAACAATGATAAGATCACAGTGGCACGTGACCTGGTGTTTCAATGTCGGGGCTTGTGTACCCACGTGTCTCGGCGGGTTGACGTTGGGAGATAGTAGACATGCAGCATTATCAGTACAGGACACAAACCATAACACAATAAACAAGGGACATTCTGTTAATTATGAGGAAGATCACCTCTACAATCAAATGAAAACAATGTCATCACTCATCCCCGCCATAGGCCACAGCAGGATTTTGTTTGTTCATACAGTAGTGAATATTTAGAATAAAAAGTCACATAAAGCCTAAAGAAGAAAGAGCCACTTAAGCCACTATATGTCATCAGAAAAATGAATTAAATGTGAAATTAATATACGCAAAAGACCCCTCCTCTAGAAAAAATAACTCGGCCAGCACATATGTCTTGTACTTTACTGTTTTCTTATTTAGCCGACTTTTCTCCATGAGTTGAACTTTTGTTTCATTTGGTCTGAAGTCAACAATGTCATATATTCCTGTATGGTCGCCTTCAGACTACTCATGGTTTGGGCGACAGTATCTAATTCCCGGACGTTATATCAACTGGCGTAATCCATGACAATGACACTGAAGTTCTTTAAAATCATTTTTTTAAATTTTTTAATTAAATTTCTACGCGGAAGATGATTTTTTCCGAGGACTACTGTTTTAAAAAACGCGATTTTCCGCGTTTCCGCGGAGATTTCACATCCCTGAAAATGGGCAATAGCTGAAGATCCAACCAGTCTATGAACACATCACCTCCTATAATTTCCTTATGAAAATATCCAGTTTTCTTTTTCGCCTCGAAAACTAGCACACAACCATCAATGAGCCACATATCATGGGTTGTGGCTAACAATCAATGACATGGTTACCTCTACCTGATGGTACTATGGGGGCTTTTTGTCCATCTGCCGATAGCCACATGTAGTCAGTGGAATGATTCATCAAGGTAAATTATTTTGACAGCCTGACTGTGATAGTTATGAATGATCCGGAGATAGCAGGGACAGGTCGGTAATTCACACTATCTAAATTCATAATTGGTTTTCCTACATCTCTCTAAAGTGTAAAGAACCTGTACCTTGGCTGTGGCTATGCAATGTAATGTAACATTCATTATGGGAGCAATGTCAACCAAACACAGCGTCATTTTGTCACATCTGGAAGTTTATCCAAATGATTTTTGTGTGTGGATGTTTTAGGAAGAATACATTATCATCATTATAACGGAGTCACGTGCACATAATTCTACTGTCCGTTTATCCTGTTTTCGTTCGAATTTGTCTCCTGTCGATAGGACGGATTCCTTGTGACTGAAATACTTTAAACTACTTCGTGGCGGTGGGTAATAAACCTCTGTGACATCATCCTATCGTCAATGTTCAGGAAAGCCTGCACGTAGCTAGGTTTGTATTTGCTAGTGAGGCCCCCCTGGGTTTTCTTTGAAAATATATGATAAATAGATTTGAAAAAAATACATGTCTTCTTAATACCAGCTTTACCTCTTCTGAAAACGGGGGCACGGGAGGCCCAGTCGGATAAGGCGCCACGATTCACTGTACAGAGTTGCTTCCCCTGGGAATGCCAGAAACCTATGGTTATGGGTTCGAATCCCTGTTCGCCCCGATAATGTTTCTAGGTTTGACAGCACCATACCCGTGCTCACAGGTTTCATGGAAGTGGTAAACGTCTGAGACCTGCTTCACTTCGGGCTTTCCTCCCATATTAGGCTGACACGCCGTGATATAACTGGAATACTGTTAAAAGCGGCGTTAAACCCAACTCACTCACTCTTCGAATTCAGAAACACTGATCCATATTTTGTATTCGAACCCTCATATGATGAGACAATGTCTAACTCTGCTTGTCACGGTAACCCGATGCACGTGAGTTGCCCCATTTCCACCCAGATCGGATAACATTCATTCGTTATTGAATTGCTACCACATGTCAAGATTGACAAGAAAACAGAGAAATGAAGCCCTTGGACGATTGCAGGCTGGACAAACCGCCCGGCAAGTAGCCTGTGCATTTCAAGTCCACGTAAGGACCAGTAACAGGTTCCAGCAACGGTACCAGACCACCAACACTACAGATGACCGATCACGTATTTGAAGATCAAGGGTCACCGCCCGACGTCAGGAATGTCAGATTGTGGGACAGCATCTAAAGGTCGCTTTGTAACTGCTGCGGAAACAGACCATGAGGACACATCAGCGACACATTAGTGCGGACACCGTGCGTCGACGATTGACGAGCAGACACCTCCACTGGCGACGCCGTGGGGAACGTTATTCGGATGCGTGTGTTGTTGACCATGGGGTGGTCCGAGCATCATGGTGTGGGGTGGAATTGGTCTTCCAGAACATCGGTCCAGGGAAAGGCAATGGGAGAGGCAATGGTGTCACAGCAGCTCGGTACATTGATCAAATCTTGAGACCACATGCCATACCTCATTTGGCACGTCGCCGCAACCACGAGTTTCAGCAAGATAACGCCCATGCCCACATTGCGAGAGCAACGAGATACTTCCTCCAGCAGAATGGCATCAGAACCATGCAGTGGCCTGCCCTCAGTCCCGATTTAAATCCCATTGAGCACCTTTTGGACGAGAATTCAAAGACGGCTGAATGACAAGGCCGACAACTGCAGCTGAACTGCGTCAGGCGTTCCTCAGAGTGTGGGCTCAAGTGCCTCATCCATTCCATCTATCGACGTTGCATGACAGTCATCAATGCACATGGCGGACACACGAGATACTGATTTGTGATGCCATTTTCTCAGAGACTAGAGTTGTGTTTCACTTTAAGAACATTTGAAACTTTCATTTCAACATCTTTTTAATATGCCTCAAAGTATGTTTACAGTGTTTGGTCAAATAAAGTTTCTCATAACACATGTATGTCTATCATGGTGACGTTTCTTTTGCGGTTCAGTATATATGACTGCTGTCATTTAGTATCTTATGTGATTTTTTGGAAGTTTGCTGCTCACAACTTTCGCTATGTGTTGAAATTGTGGACCTGAGATTTTGCTTGCTATATTTAAAATGTTATGTATATATTTAGATTTATTTGGAACACACAGGCTCCCATACCAGCAGTTAACATTAAAAAGTAAAATGTTATATTATATTTGGAATACATGTATGTTTCGAAATGTCTTTTTGTTGTTTGTTATGACAAGAAATAATATATTAAACGCTGGTCTAGCACGTGTAGCTCGTGGTCGTTTGGAAAGCAGATGCGAGCCGGCGACCAGTTATTGTAAATTTCATTCAAGTCATTGCTGAAAGTTATTTTCGAAAATTATTAGTTTTGTGAAAGTCGGATCTGATGTGCTCATGTCATGACGAGGACATTTTTTTTGTTCGATTTCTATTTTGTCAATGAGAACATCAACAACCTGTAGCATGTCCAGTCGTGATCCCGCATGTATCCTCAGTTATTCCAACACACTTTGCAGTGTCACTGGTGTCGGCATAATGTTTTTATATTAATTATATTGAATATAATAAATAAGAAATGTTTTGAACAGTCCCTACCAATGGCATCTTCCTGAGTCAAGGGAGTTCAATGATTGAAAAGTCCAGTTTCCACTCTTGCCGAACCAGGCTGGAATCTCTGGGCCTGATGTAGCGCCACCAGTGGCTATTACGAGTTATGTCCCGTCTATGTCCCTACTATTGCCCAATCCGATTCCACCTCTCATAGCACTTACATTTGCTTCAAACAAAATGGCGGCACCCAGTCAAGACCATCAGATCGATAATCAAGATCTATATTGTAATAAAACGAGTCTTACTTTGCAAAGTGCATCAAATCACGTGTGCACCTTGAATAAAGACATGAACGATTTGGAAAATTTCTGTTGACGGGAAAGTTGACGGTACACATGTTTTGCCAATCCTGCAATCCACAGAAATCTGCACTGCAGTATGGGAACTGGATGTCGATTTTGTTACGCGATTTTGATTGGACGATGCATAGACGCGTTAGTCCAGCCATTTTATAAGTCCATAATTCCTGTCTTGTTTGGCAAGGATGGAAACTGGACTTATAAAAGTCCGCCAACTCCCTTGCATCGGGAAGATGAAGATCATTAAATGCTTACAGGCTATGAATATTGAAGAAGTGATAAAATATTAAGCGGTCGCGAGAGAAGGTTTTTAGTAAGAAATCAAAGAAAGATTGTACACAAAATCTGGTCCTCACATATTCTGCCCCACACCATGACACCACGACTTTTGTGGGAATCTTGTATACAGCCAGGAGTCATTGTTTCTCCCCTTCGGCGACAAATACGAAATAGGTTGAACCTTCTCTAATCGGTGAACAAGACACGTTGCCATTCAAGCCGCTGCCAACGTTTTAGACGTCGGTCCGACCGTAGTCAATCTTGGCGATGTTGTGGACCCAACACCATCCCGGGCAGCGGTCTGTATGAGGTGTTTTTGGTTCATGTGATTGTGTCTGACACTTTCGGTCGACCTTAATACAGGTACCTGCACGGATGCTCCATGCAGAACCGGAGAACCTGGTTTTTTTGTAGCAGCACGTGCATTGACAGCTGCATGGTTTAGGTTCTCTGGAAGCGAGTGTGCTGCGTTTGGGGCAATTGTTTACATCATGTTACAAACATTTGACTGCATGCATTTTGGGGGGTAATTCAACATTTTCTTTTGTGAACTTTCTTTTGATCTTCAGTTTAGGTACTCACAATGCAGGACCATGCGTCTGTCTGCTACACCTGTCTTCAGCAGATGAACACAGCCTTCAGTTGTGAATCCTGCAAGACAACAACAGCTTAGAGTTAATGGAATTGTGCTTGTGTGTAGATACAATTGGTATATTTATGAAATTGTCTAAAGTGTGCGTCATGATGTTCCACAGACAGGAAGTCAAACAAGACTATATAAAGCAACAGACCACAACTAGGGTGTGAAAACAGAACCAGTACCAGGAACAAACCACAGACAGAAAGTGAAAACAGGACCAGTACCAGGAACAGACCACAGACAGGAAGTAAAAACAGGACCAGTACCAAGAACAGACAGACCACACACAGGAAGTGAAAACAGGACCAGTACCAGAAACAGACAGACCACAGACAGGAAGTGAAAACAGGACCAGCACCAGGAACAGACCACAGACAGGAAGTGAAAACAGGACCAGTCCAAGGAACAGACCACATACAGGAAGTGAAAACAATAACAGTATCAGGAAAACAGACCACATACAGAAAGTGAAAACAGGACCAGTATCAGGAACAGGCCACTGACAGGAAGCGAAAACAAGACCAGTACCAGGAACAGAGAGGCCACAGACAGGAAGTGAAACCAGGACCAGTACCTGGAACAGGCCACAGACAGGAGGCGAAAACAGGACCAGTGCCAGGAACACACCACAGACAGGCAGTGAAAACAGTACCAGTACCAGGAACAGACCACATACAGGAAGTGAAAACAGGACCAGTACAAGGAACAGACCACAGATAGAAAGGGAAAACGGGACCAGTACCAGGAAGAGACTACACACATGAAGGGAAAACAGGACCAGTACCAGAAACAGACCACAATCAGGAAGTGAAAAGAAAACCAGTACCAGGAACAGACCACAGACAGGGAGTGAAAACGGGACCAGAACCAGAAACAGACCACAGACAGGAAGTGAAAACAGGACCATTATCCGGAACAGACCACAGACAGGAAGTGAAAACAGAACTAGTACCAGGAACAGGCCACAGAGAGGAAGTGAAAACAGGACCATAACCCTGAACAGACCACAGACAGGAAACGAAAATAGGACCAGTACCAGAAACAGACCACAAACAGGAAGTGAAAACAGGACCATAACCCGGAACAGACCACAGACAGTGTACATACTAATCAGGGTTTGTAGACGATCAATGGTTTCTAAGGCGTCCTGGCAGCTTTTGTCTTTCTCAGCTAGCATCTACAAATAAGTAAAGGGGATAGCTGCTCATGAAATAAATATAGGCCAAATAAGATTGTGTATTTGTTGTAAGGATACATGCAAAATAATTTTGTTGACGTTGCAAACTTCTTGAACTTGTGACAGGACCTTCAACAATATCAAGTCTGGACAAGACAAGCAATAGGGTATAGCTGGTAAATGTCTTTATGATGTATTTAAACGAAACCCTTCTCTATCTATCTCTTCTCTATCTGACAAATCTAAAGTACCAACAACTATATAATCTCACCATTCTCTCCTCAATGAGTGGGACAAAATGATATACAAACCAATTTCATGTTGTTTGCTTCGGCATTCAGCTTGTCTGTTAGCTGCTGAAGTTGTTCAGTTCTTTCATTGTGTGAAGCAATATTTGACTCCAGCTTTGCAAGGTCCTGAAAGATAAAATATATTTTACCTTTGGGTCGGAGTTGGAGGCTGTACATGAACTCTTATTAATCAAACAGTATCAATATATTCTATCAATCATATCAGTATTGTGTGACTAAGATACATCAGTTGACTGAACCTGCAAAGTCTTTGTGGTACTATACTTTGATCAGTTCAGTTGTTCTAATATTGAGTTCTTAGATATTTAGACAATATGAATGAAATATAAAACAATTGATGGGATGAATGACTGAGGTCCGATGCCTACGTGTATCCCTATATAACTAGACTTACCATTTCGTGTTTCTGTTCAAGGTCCGCCAAATAGTCATCATCAGTTTGTGTGTGCTTGTCTGTAATTGTAGAAGCAAATTGTGAATCCCGAGTGACAGAACACTGTTTTAATTAAAATAACACCACGAAACACATGAATTAGGTTTAGTAGAACTTGGGCACATATCATCAATAAAGCACAATAACTGTTTTAATATGCATACCATCAGGTGTTCCCCCTTCTGAATCTTCTTCCAAGGCAGCGATGTTACCAAATCCAGACATATCTGATTTCAGTTTGGACAAGCCATTGGTGTTGAAGACAGCTTCAGGTACATCATGTGTTTCAGGTGAAGCAGTTTCTAGGCAGGTCCGAGTCATCCCCTCAACATTGGTCTCCAGCTGCAGCAGGACCGATGTTGAAGCATAGAGAAGACATTTTCGGATGTAACCTGAAATGTCGGTGCATCTTGCATGATGATCTTCACATGAGGTTTCAAGAGCATGTAGAGTTGCCTTGGTTTCCCTCGTCTGACTTTCAAGATCAATCAGGAGTTCCTTCTCCCTTTGGTCAAGTTGTGATCTTAAAGACCGGAAAGTATGTTCTATTGTCTTCCTCAATGTTTCCTGCGTCCTATTGGTCAACTGTGTTTCTTGTCTGATGCTCTGAAGGTGTGTTTGCTGACGAGACAGTAACGCCGACAGATCTTTCCTGTGTTGTTCAATCCGCTGTGTAACTCCTTCAGCAGCTTCATCCAGGTAACCAACCTCGTGATCCGCGTGCTCCCCTCTCCTACATTGGGAACAGATACACATGTTGCAGTTTTTGTCAAACAAATCAAGTGGATACCGTTCGTGAATACTGCAATTGGTTTCATTTTCAAGGTTTTGCGGGGTTATATCCCCAAAGTTGTGCACAGCATGATTTCTGAAAATTTTGACGCTGCTGTGCATGTTCTGGCAGTATTCACAGAGGAACTCTTCACACTCCTGACACCAACACACAGCCTGGTTCCCGTCATCTTCATATGTACAGAGGAGCTCTGTGGGGCGTTGTTTGACGGTCAGGTAGAATATTTCCTTCTGTCTGACTGCATCCTTCTGGAGACTTGTGTCTGTGAGGTTGACCTCCCTCTGACACGTGGAGCATGATATCACACCACCAGCCGCAGATGTCACACACTTCTCACACACGGCGTGTAGACAGGGTAGTAAGTAGGGGACTGGACCTTTCAGTGTAAACTCCTGATGACATACGGAACACTTCGTGAAGGTGTCCATTCTGAAAGACACAAAATAATAATGAGATACACATGTCAATTGTATGTGTGTAAGATCCATAACCATACGACGTATAGTGAATCATCCAATTGAGTGTCTCTGAATATGTAGTATATTTATCGAATTGGCTAAAAAGAGTTTTTTTCTGAGACCATCTGTGCAAAACAAGGGACAAAATTTAAATTTCATTGCCACTTGATGCGTTGATCTGGAAGGCAAGCATTTTGGTTCTGCTGAGCTATTCATCCTCACCCTAGTAGAGTCGTTTCTCTATAGTCTGTAGCCACTTTTATTATTGATAAAAACACAAACTGTTGCCTGAAAACATGTACTTTTTAAATTTCTCCTATCGCAATCAACCCAAATCATATCAATCCTATGTCACACCTAATTAGGTGCACGGGTGGCCGCGATTCGTTGTGCAAAGTTGCGTCCCTTCGGCACGGCAGAAACCTATGATTGTGGGTTCGAATCCCAGTTCGCGCTGATTATGTTTCAAGGTTTGTCAGCACCATACCCGTGCTCGTGGGTTTCACCATAGTGGTAAACGTCTGACCTCCATCACTTCGGGCTTTCCTTCCACATTAAGCTGACACGCCGCGATATAACTTGAATACTGTTAAAAGCGGCGTTAAACCAAACTCACTCACACATAATTAAGGCCAGTTAAAATACATACCGTTTTTCAAAACAAACAGGAAGGAATTTTAAGATTGTATTTTTTATTAGCTTCCAAATATAAAACAAATATGAACTTGATTGATAAATGCTTTATTTATAATGAGTGGGTAAACAGTGCGAACATGTTTCAAATTTGAGTTTAGAAAGGTTCTCCTTAACAGTGATTAGAACATAAGGGTCACATACTGGTGGGGGCGGGTCAATAAAAATTATCTCTTTTAGACGTCTTATCTACACTGGGGTGGTGAGGTGGTCTTGTGGTTAAAGCGTTCGCTAATGACGTTGGGTTCATGACCCGGGTTCTATTTCCAACATGGATACACTGTGTGAAGTCCACTCATCTACACAATATGCTCGCAAGAGTGAGTGAGTATGGTTTTACGCCAGTTTAAACAATATGCCAGCAATATCAAGCCGGGGGATACTGGAAAATAGGCTTCACACATTGTACCCATGTGGGGAATGGAACCGGGTCTTCAGCATGACGAGCCAACGCTTTATCCACTAGGCTACCCCCGCGCCCCTTCTCGCAAGATGACGTCACGTAGGACAAATGTTAAATGTAGCACACAACTAATTTGATCTGTGTCGAGCGTAGCATGAAACCCACATAATGATCATGCGTACATACAACAAAGTGTGTATACCAGACGGTTACCCCTGACTACAAACTCGACGATATAACACGTACATTAAAATCACACTACAAATATCCACAAAATAAAACAACCAAAATCCAAATACATCAAACATCGCACTATTTTACGCAGCCTATTTTACATATTCTTGATCTACTGCTTAATAAGCACCTATTCACCTTCTGGAAGCCATTAATGCACACAAGCTCACATGGTGCGCACAGATCCAGAAACATTCCCCATACATGTACAATTAGATACAACCTACAACTGATACTCCTCATAAAGCAGCACACATTCTTTCAGCGTGCACTTATGCATATGTGATCACAGCAATAAAGCCATATCTTATCATCACCGCAGGATTTGATACACTATTTTATCAAATTGAATTATATTCCACTATGTAGAACCTAATACTAGGACCGCCTCCGTGGTCTAGTGGTAGAGCGTTCGCCACGGGGGCGGACGGTTGGGGGTTTCGTTCCCCTCTTTCATACCTAAAGACGTTAAAGTCGGTACTTGTTGTTACCTGGTGCTCGGCATTAAGAGACCAAAACAATTAGTCGGCTCGGAGTCAGTATATTTGTTCTAAGTTGGGTATTCATGTTAAACTGCGGCGTGGTATCTCATTTGGCTAGTACTATAAAATCGGCATTAGTCCGGACTAGTACAAGGAGGCACACACACACATACACGGGCATGCACGTCGCCATATAAGTGCAATAATCTTGGACGAGACGTTAAACCCCATTTCACCTCACCTAATGGATCGGAGGGGCGGTCGGGTAGCCTAGTGGTTAAAGCGTTCGCTCGTCATTTGTGATCCAGCAATAAAGCCATATCTTATCATCACCGCAGGATTTGATACACTATTTTATCAAATTGAATTATATTCCACTATGTAGAACCTAATATTAGGACCGCCTCCGTGGTCTAGTGGTAGAGCGTTCGCCACGGGGGCGGACGGTTGGGTGTTTCGTTCCCCTCTTTCATACCTAAAGACGTTAAAGTCGGTACTTGTTGTTACCTGGTGCTCGGCATTAAGAGACCAAAACAATTAGTCGGCTCGGAGTCAGTATATTTGTTCTAAGTTGGGTATTCATGTTAAACTGCGGCGTGGTATCTCATTTGGCTAGTACTATAAAATCGGCATTAGTCCGGACTATTACAAGGAGGCACACACACAAACACACACACACACACACACACACACACACACACACACACACACATACACACACACATGCACGTAGCTATATAAGTGCAATTATCATGAATGCGACCTTTAACCTCAGCTCACCTCACCACACCTAACATTAACAAAATAACTCATCCTTCTTTATGTACTACTGGATAAACAACGGCAATCTATGCAGCACACAGGCCATTAATTGAATACATACAGTAACCCTACCCTACAAGCAACATTACACCAGTAAGAGTCCTCTTGATAAGCATCACAACACCATGACTCACGATAACAAAGTGACGAAAAGACCTTACTCTTATCTCACACAGTATGTTCAGGTGTTTGTCGTCTAAATACAGAAACTAGGTATGTCAGTCAGCTAACACACACACACACACACACACACACACACACACACACACACACACACACACACACACACACACACACACACACACACACACACACACACACACACACACACACACACACACATCGTTTATAAGTGTGCGACTATGCTTATCGTAAGAGGCGACTAATTGGATCGGGTGGTCCGGCACGCTGACATGGTTGATGCATGTCATCGTATCCCAATTGCGTGGATTGATGCATATGGTGTCAATCACTGGAGTGTCTGACTACAGACCACGTTAAACTCCGGAATACTGCTGAGTGCGGCGTTAAACACCAAGCAGAAAAACACAAAAACAAACAAACAAACTTGTCGGTGTGATTTGAGCAAGTACATGTCTGCACGTACTCTACCTCTATTACACATGGCGACACGACCGAGCGTTTTCTATACACTACTCACAGTAAAGGCGTTTCAGGACTTGTATGAAATGTGTGTCAGTCAGCTTTCACTAATATCATGTCTATAACTTGTAGAATTTAGGTACAGGTACAACCTTCAGCATCCTGGTAGTATCTTGACATATACATGTACGTTTTGACCTGAATATCAAACAGTTTTCTGTGTGTAGAAGGACAGAGAGAGTGAGAGAGACGAGAGACAACACACTCACCTGGACTGTAGACTTCCATCACTGTTGACACGCAGGTCACTTCCGGGCGATGACGTAGGAAAACTCTCTTATTACAAGCGTGTTAGAACTGATATAAATATTTACGTTTACAATAATAATGACAGAGTCCATTTGCTTTACTTGTGATTACTGTGCATGTAGTAACGTGGGGAAAATGTACAAGTTTACAAATGTTTTATCACGTTACACCCACATATTAAGGTTGGGAAATTGTGAAATAAATATAGAATACTACACTCGCTCACGTGTAATGCCAATTTGTTTAAAACCAGTGAATAGTTATCATATCTGACCTATTCACGAGTTTCATAAGATTGGTCTGACACGGGTGCGAGTTTAGTTTTTGCGCTTATATCTTGTTATATAAATGTCACAGTTGTTTGTGAATAGGCAGACATCATCGTGTTCCAAATCATATTGTTTGTTTGATGTTGTTTAACGCCGCACCCAGTAATATTCCAGCTACATATTACGGCGGTCTGCAAGTAATCGATTCTGGACCAGACAATCCGGTGATTGACATCATGAGCATCGATCCATGCAATCGGGATCGATGACATGCATCAACCAAGTCAGTAAGCCTGACCAACCGATCCATTTAGTCGCCTCTTACGACAAGCATAGTCAGGTTTTACAACAAGCATGGGTTGCTGAAGACCTATTCTACCCCGGAATCTTTACGGGGCTCGTGAGTAAGTGAGAAAGCAATTACCCAAAGGGAAATCAAGATTAGTTTCTTGCTCTATCTTTGAATTGATCGCGAGCCTGATGAAAAAGACATAAACCCATTACGCATTGAAGCTTGACTGTATGATTAATAGATTAAATATTCTTATCGTTTTCAGACTGTATTGATTGTAGACTGTATTGATACTTCAGAGAACAGTTTTGACCTCACGACTTCCCGACTTCCCGACTTCCCGTTTTTGATCTCGTTAACAGAATCGAAATGTTTGAATCATTACTTCTAGTAGTATTAAGATTCGATTCCCGACATGGATACAATGTGTGTCCCCCGCCGTGATATTGCTAGAATATTGCTGAAAGCGGCGTAAAACCATACTCACTCACTCACTCTCATGTAACAAAACGCATCTGCATCTCGCCTCAACCCCAGGGTAGCCATCTGCTTCGCGGAAGAGGACCGCAACTGTCCAACATGACGTCATGCCATGTCGTGGAGGAGATGGAGGGAAGGGATGCTATGGACAAAGGGAGACAATTTAGTGAAGTAACCAGCATACCTGGTTTTGTGTGAGTGAGGTTGTGCCAGGCAACTTTGAGCAGTATATCAGTTATATCATGACGGTTCAACTTAATATTTGGAGAAAAGACCAAAGTAATGCAAGTCTTATATTTACTACTTTGGTGAAACTCCCGAGCATGGGGTGCGCTGACATACCAAGGATCATAACTGCAGCGAAAGTCGGGATTCGAACCCACT